GAAATCAGCCGGTGAATTATAATGCAAGATGCCATGTGCTACATTTCTTTTCTCCATTGCTGTGGGTTTGGGGTGCTATGGTGGCAAGATGATGTTAGCTCCCTCTCCAGGTATGCAGGAGGTCGTGGGTTCGATCTTGACCCTAACACCTATTTATTTGGAGTATGCATGTCCTCCCCGTAGTCGCGTGGATTTTTCTCCGGGTCCTCGGGTTTTTCCCTCCACATTATGAAACATACGTTTAGAATATTTGGGTCCTCTAAATTTTCACACGATAAGTCACTTCGAGCTATTATTTGTGGCCAGGTCGATTCTGAAAAAGAGCTAATAGCTCTGGGCTTTACCTAGTAAGTAAACTATGTTTAGTTTATTTTTCATAAAGGCAATGATCAATGAAGGATATGCATCATACTTTACTAATATTGTACGTGGCTTGGTGGATTAGAAGCTGTTAAAGTTGACTTATAGAGCTAAATGAGTTAGTATTTGAATTTGAAGTCATAGTAATGAAGAAAAAAATCTAAATATTCATTCAGAAAATATCTTAAGAGTCCATTGTGTACAAATGCATTGCTTCAACATCTCTTGATAAGCTTACCCACTTGTGGATGTGCTTGTGAAGCGTATCAGACACTTGTTTTTTCATGTAAACGTGCTAATAGATGTTGCCAACACTCCATGTCACCGAGCTCTTAATATTGCAGCGTTCTCGAAGTAGCTTAAACATTTACTTAGATGTGAAAACAAGATGAAGTTGTATTGCTACTTCAAAAAACATTTCCGGAAATCTAACTGAAACATAAAAATCAACGTCGCTGTGTATAGGAATCCCTTAGAGTTGAGTACATCAAACAATACAAATTACGAGTAGATGCACTATCAATGCACAACCGTAATAGACGGTTGGCCTATGCACTAACAAAGATATAGACACGAGAAATGTGTTTTATTATTGACAGACATGCGCTATCTACCGCTGTGTGAAATCTTTCCTACACCGTCACCACCCCTCACAGTCATTGCTATAAACCATCTCATTCTTGCACCACACGAGCCAATCTCATCACTCCATCTGGTGGTTGTCTGCTTGGACATGTTCTGTATTTTGGCTGTCATTCTGTCACTAGTCTTTATAAGGTCGCACTCATTTCACACAAAGTGCTTGCCACAAATGAACCACAATACCTTGCTGATCTCGTCAAGGAGCATAAATCATCACACAAACTTCGGTCATCCTCACAGCGGCTCTTGGCTAGCCCATCGAACAAAGACTGTCACTGCATTGCGCGCTTTCAGATGCGCTTCTGTGGCCGTCTGGAACGCTCTTCTTTCCGATTTTAGGAAGCTGCTAGCGCTATGCACTTTTAAAGCATCTAGACTGAAAACTATTTTTTTCAGAACTACTTTTGGTGTTTAGTTTGTTGTCCTTTCCGCCCCCCGCACCTCCGGTTAGCACGGTTGGCTACGTACAGGTGCTATAGAAGTTCAACATATCTACTACATACAGAGGTCTTGTCCGGTCGCCCATCGTCCCTTCTAGCGATGTTTCCTCTCCAATTTCCCGCATGCATTGCATTAACGCGGTGGCCCAGTGGCAATGGTGCAGAGCCTCGCCGTTCGAATCCAGCGGCCGCCTCTGATTTTTATAAAGCGGTCTGCGTCTTTACCGTGGTGATGCCATGCGCGCCATCCGCTTTCCAGTGGCGGCGTGAAAGCTCCCATGACGTCATGCGCAAGAGGTTGGCGGCCCAATGCATTGGCGGCATCACGGCCCACATTGCCAAAAAAAATTCAATTGCCCCGGAGATTGCTCGCGGAGGATATACGTTCCAGTCATCACCATAACCCTGCCCCCCTTGCGAAAAACTTGGCAAGGCCGTCCTGAAAATGAGTCGTAAGGTTTCGTTTGTGGCTTTCCTGGGTAAACAAGTTTAATAATAATATTGCAGAGTTGCAAATGAAGTGTGTCAAGGCACGAGCAACGAACGAGCACTATGTGAGCCAAAAGCACATGGCGATATAAATGCAAATGTTACGTATTATTCTTATGGCAACAAGCAATGCAGATCTGCCTTTCGCCCAGCTGGTAGCTGTTCTCAGGGAATTTTGCTGTGTGGTGGTGTAACTTTGACAGTATCGCAGTTTGGGATTATTGAAAGGTGGAGTGGGATGTGCCAATCAGAATGTTACATCGCTTGCTTCAAGATTGGTTGTTTTAATAATTGTTTTTAAACATTTTTTTTATCTTATCTGAACGAAATAATTAACGATTTGTACTGTGGAAGTGTGATGAGATGAGTCGATGACAATGCGGGAAATAAAGGACGATAAAAGTGACAATCAGTGGTGAATGATGGATGGGGTAGAGAAGTTGGGAAAGAGGGATTGAGTTCGTGATGGGGACGGGAGGGGGAAGGGGGAAGTTTGGTTAAGCACAGAAAAATAAGTGAGTTTTAAGGGAAGAACGAAAAATAGACACATGTAGAGAACTGCAGAGCTTGGGAAATTGTCGACACCGGCTCACTGCCTTGCGTCAGCGATTGTGGGATATAATTTGCATGAACAACGAGATTTAAAACATTTTTTTTCCCGTGCGGTAATAAAAAATGTTTGAGGTCATAATAATTATGTACGGCAATCCTTTGAAGTAACGTTCCGCAAAGTAGCCGACTGTAATGACTCCCAATTGTGGTTGCCCACGCAATTATCTGAGGCTTATTATTCCGGAAAACGGTCAAAGTCGAGCATGATTGCCATGCCTCTTGGCTACAAGTACATCGGATTTTTTAAAACTCAATTTGAATATTGGTTTGTTTAAATAGAGAGAATATTCCACACGGTTGCATTAGCAGTTGTGTTATATAACCAAACTCTGTTGGGCATCTTCGATTGATTATCATTATTAATACTCATTGTCATCCTTTTGTCAGTTCACTGCTGGATGAAGGCCTCCCCAAAATGTATTGGCCATGGAGGTTGTTTGACCAAAAGTATTAATTCATGCAAATAATGTTAATTTTACATACACACTTTGATACATAAATTTTCAATGTTTTTGTAAATGTTTTATACCGGACACCTTTTCTCCATCCATTCTTGATCCAGCTTCAAATGTTTTTGTAACTAGGGAGGCAAGTGAATAAATAACTGTAGCGACTACTTCAGCCGCCAATAATGAACACTTCTTGCTCAAGCAGCAGCATCAACAACAGCAGCAGCATCATCAGCCGTCATTCGCCAGTGAGTGGCGGTGACGTCCACCGCAGGGTTCTGCGCGCTCAGAGGCCATGTGAAGTGTGGAAGGCTCGTTGGCAGGTCATGGGACAGACCCCTCAGGTGTTTGCCTGTTCACCAGGGGCGTGCGGTCAGGGTGTTTACCTGTTCACCAGGGGCGTGCGGTCAGGGTGTTTACCTGTTCACCAGGGGCGTGCGGTCAGGGGAGGCAGAGGCCTCGCCTGTCATACTCCAATGAAAATAGCTGTTACGAAAAGTAAAGAAAAAGAATAATCAAATAAAATAAAATATTAAGATTTTTTCCACTGATCTGTGTTATAAATGCAATTTCTTTACTACTCCACAATCATTTTTGTAGTCAAAATCGCCAAATTTGCGGAGCTCCGCTTGCAAATACTGCAGGAAGAGACGAGAGGTGAGGCAGCGATGAGCTCAGCCTCCCCTCTGATTGCGCAACCCCTCAGTAACTGGGCTGAGCGCGGGCAATAAGTGCGTGCCTGTTACTATCTCAGTATGTCACCAATGTAATGTTTGTAGACCCCTTCATTTCATGTCCTCGCCTTCCATACTCCAGGTAACTTATTTCACGTATTTGTATAAAGATAGTTGCCTCTCTGAAGGAGGCGTGGCTAACACGCTCCCCTCCGTGAGGCCACGCCCCCTCCGTGAGGCCACGCCCCCTCAGTGTGTGAATCTGGCTCTGACACTAGCCAGTGCCTCCCCAACGATTGACCTCACCGCACGTCACTGTTGTTCACTGACTGATGGCTGTGCCCCCCCACTGCCAAACTTGCTGTGTCAGTACAAAGAAAAATGGATCATCTGCATAGCCTTAACAGACTGTTGAGGCAAGTGCTGTTAGCGAGCAGCACCTATAAAGGTCGACACGGCACACGAGGGGGTGGGTGGCCAGCGCCCCGCCCAGCCGGCGTTGTCTCCCTCGTGGCGATGATTAAACACTGCACCAGGTGCTCATTAGAGTCGACCAAGGGGAGGCCCAGGAGCGGTTTAGATAATCGTCACTGCTGTTAACCTTGAGCGGGAATCAAACCCAGGTCGGCAAATGCACGCGCACACACACAGCACTGGCGGTGTATCTTGCCCCCTACTTAATGAGATTCTTTTTTAAAAACCTAAACTTGCCTCAGCTCCTTGTTTATGCCGTATAAAATAAGCACGCCTGCTCACTGTTGTTGATCATCAACAATCCAGTGAATATATATGTTAAAACGGCCTGTTATGTAATGTTCTGGCTAGAATAAGCTTTGTGCGTAATGTGGATAAACGTGCACTCTCTGTTCTTGCCAAACACGTACGTTGTGGCCATCCGTGTGCGCACACCCACACACTGTTATACACGTACAGCTCTTTTGTCAATCCACTGCTGGATGGAGTTTTGTTTTGACCACACTCCCGCCATGCCCGTCGGTGAAGGCGGGGGAGCATAGACTTTTGGAGCAGGGTACAATACAGCAACGGCTTTTTCTCTGCAATGCCCTCTGCTGACAATGGAGCCCGGCAGCAGCAGCCTTTAGCATCTATTCCAGGCCCAGCCCGCTTAGCTTCCAAGCTCTGACAAGATTAGGCGCATTCCACGCGATTTGGTTATGGGGCACGCGACATGATTTGTTCGCCCCCGAGCCAGAATGCTTATTATATAAGAAGCGGCAGCTGCTGTTGATGGAAAACACTTACTACTTGTGACCGACTGTCGACGTGACCGAAAACCTGTTTTTGTGTTCTCTCTCCCTCTCTCTTCCTTGCAGCGGCGTGGTGCAATCTCATTTGAAAGCTCGGACCAGAATGCCATTTACGTTCGCATGCTAGGTAAGTGCGCCTGCGACGTCTCCCCTTCCTCGCCACCATTGCCAACGCGATCATCAACTCTGACCGCCCAAGCCCTCTCCACGCTTAATCCCTAATTTGATTGGGGTTTATGCCGCGTACAGTGGTATTTCTTTCATGCCAAATTTCTCGTAGTTAACCCCTCTCCACCAGCCAACAATATTGTCACATTTACAGAGATTAATTACACGTGCCAAAAGCATTCAAGGTGGCTTTTTAAGATTTTTCACGATTTAATGTGGTACCAGACGTACAACGGCACTTTGTTCCCAACTGCATTGAGCTTGCTCAGCCCTGTGCTTCTGGAAATCGTGCGAGCTGCATCAGCTGGCCGATTTAAATACCTGCCGTGACAACATCCGAATGAAAGATTATGGGGAAGGGAGGAAGCACAGCACCACATTTGAAAACCCCTTCACAGCATCCACCTCCGAATTATAAAACTTTGGGTTTAGTCATTGCACTTCGAATTGTTGTCTACACTGGTGTCGATTCCAACACATGCCCTCTGTGTACCTTAATCGTTTGTTCGATAAAAAATACTCTTGGGGAAATGAAATACCTGCTGTGACATCACCAACTACATGGGTAATTTACATTTATTATCAATTTGGGCCCTGGATACTTTCACTTGGTGTAAAATGAAATACCCTACACTATGATGTAAAATGAGAGTTTTATTTTTGTGTTTGGGCCCGTAGGTATATGACAATTAACAGCCTCTGTAATTTGATATATTAGCATGTTTAAAGTGTGTACGATTCAACAATCCTTTCTTTTTTCCCTCATTTATTGCCTCGTTTGTATTGCTTGTTGTCTCTTCTCCCTGTTAAGTATAGCTTCCTGCAGTTGCCTAAATGTAACGTTAGCAAGCTATTGATTCCTATACGCACAAATCACCGCATTACATCGTGAGCGTAAGAATCCGTTTTGATGACTAACGCAGTGAATCACTGTGTGTCTATTTTACCGTACATGTTACACAGTGGAACTTGGGCTTCACTCGGGCCTGTTGTTGGTGAAAACTGCATTTATTTTTGTTCCGTTGCGACCAAATGGTTGCTACCTGGCGAAGGCTAACGATCTCTGCTTAGCTGAGACCACATCGAGCGATTGAGTAGGACTAAGGTCAGCTGGGCAGCTTGCAAATCCAAAGGTTACGATTTCAAATTTCCGTTTGTGGGTTGACTCTACCCATCGTCCCTGTGGGGGTAGATTAACTGAGTACTGCTCTGTGGTGACATCAGCAGTGAATAGACTCAACCCCCCGCCATAGGTATGTGGAATTTCCAACGACTTGCTCATGGGCTGTAAACAGGAGATGAGCACTGCCTCCAGTGCTCATTGGGGCAGGAAATAACTTTTAAAAAAAGTGGATCTAGGCAAGGGATGAAGAGGAACAAAAACCATCCCGTGATGACTCTTCAAGTTTTTTGCCAAGTGAGTGCAAGACGGGATGAGCTGGTGGCCAGGGTGACCCTCATCAAGGCCGTTCACATCGCTAGCCAGAACGTAATTTCTAACAACGCTCGCGTGTGCACGATTTTCGGGGGGGAAACGCTCTAACTGTCTCATTCGTCCACAGTGACGTACGTATGTACGTTGAACTTCTGTCCGCACCATACGTAGCTGACCGTGCTCATCGGAGGTGTGGGGGAAGGACGACAAAATGAATACACAAAAAAGCAATTTTAAAGAAATTAGTTTTCAATATATATGATTTAAAAGTTGGATAGCTTCAGTGGCTTCCTAATATTAGAAGGAAGAGCGTTCCAGACGGCCGCAGAAGCATCTAAAAGCAAGTGATGCAGTGACCATCTTTGTTTGATGGCGAGCCCCGATCCATGGGCAGGGCAGCCTGTAGGTGTCCACTGCACATTTAGTCATTTGTTTCCACTTTCCTTTGTCTTGTGCCCAATTTGCTCAAGAAGTGCCACGTCTTTTTTTGGCACCAATCTCTTATGCCGTCATCAAGCCATTCTCTGTGAGGTCTTCCTCTCTTTCTGGTTCCTTCCATTTGTCCCAACAACAACAACAACACACTTTTTATTTTCCTGTTGTTCGTCCTGCGGTTAGCCGTCCATGCTTTCGTACCTCCGATTAGCACAATTGGCTACGTACGGTGCGAAATAAGTTCTACATACATTCACGATTGATATGCAGTATTAATATGAGTATATCTGAATAGGTACATATTCCATGGCCGAGATATGTGTGTGTACACAATGCTGCTGAATAAAGTACGAGGTCATGCAGAAACACTGTTCTCAAATATTTAATGGAAATTGGATAGAAAATTGGATGAAAGCATTGCACTCAAACTATCACAGGTAAATGCCATTATCTTGTTTTTTGCCGTGATCCAGCCATGTAAATTCCACATTCCAATGACAGGGATGAGTGCATTCATAGTACGAACACGCTTGATTTCCCGCGGAGTGGTATTCATTTCTTCAGCGATGGAGGAATAAAGGGTGCAGTGATGCATTAACCACCACTCTTAACTCACCACCGCTAAAACCCACCTCCCCTCTAACTCACCACAGCTCTAACTTGCCAAATAAGTATTTTTTTAGCATTTTGTAAATCTTGAGCTATGCTGCTTTTGCTTTTGACCAGTGCTGCTTTTGCTTTTGACCAGTGCTGCCTGATAGCCCTGTATTCACATCCTGGAATTCCACTGGCAAAACTTCAGACGTCTCGTTGTGACGTCACTAAAAAAATAAATGCACTCTCATCCACATCTGTCCATAACACTTGATCCTTTTCCTTCGAGTGTATTTAAAGTCATGGGAATTTAAATACCAAGTCGGTGTTCCAAGATCTTTATAAATTTGCACACCCTATGGAAAATTACACAATTGTGTTTGTGTGAGCACATGCTGAAGATGCGTGTGTGTACTTGTATGGACGTATGTATGTGTGTTACACTTGGTACACGTGTTTACCCAGGAAAGCCTCGCTGAGTCTCATGGCTCTGGTTAAGGAGGATCCTGCGAAGTATTTATCCAGTAGGGGAGTTTGACTGCTATGGGTGCCACAGTGGCGAGATGTTAACTACCTCGCCTGGTATGCAAGAAGTTGTGGGTGCCATCCCGACGATGCTTTTATATTTGGAGTTTGCATGTCTCTCTCCCCGTGGTCACGTGGATTTTTCTCCGAGTCCTCTGGCTATTCCCTCTACATTTTATTATCATTTAATCGATTAGATTAATTGGCTTCTATACATTTACACACGATGAGACACTTCGTTGAGCTATCATTTATGGCCAGGTCACTTCTGAAAACAAGCTATGTAGATCAGTGGGACCCTAACTGGTAACGTAAAAGTTGTTTAGTTTGAGGCGAAATTCCACATTCCAACTGTGCAATATGCGGGTAATGTTTCAAATTTGGACCGTCACGCCGGCACACAACGTCCTCCTCTTGACATCACGGTATCTGCAATGCTCGCCATGAAGCAGTCTGGTCAATGCAACCCTCTCCCCCCACAGTAACCAGGGCAGCCACCAGAGTCGAACCGTGACCCGCGAGAACAAGCCTGTGAACGCGCCACCGCTGGCCCAGATCACGTCCCCCCCCCCCCCCCGTATAGCCCAGCGTAAGGCTTGGCCTTGTGAAGCAAGGGCACCCTGGCCTGTGGGGTGTACGGACGTGTTATTATTTATTTATTTTGCCCCCCCCCCCCCCCCCGCCTTGCCGTGTGCGTATAAATACTCGGCCGCGTCGCGTGCCACTCGTTTTTTAGGAGTGCCCTTTAGTAATGGGTGACACGTAACTGAAAGCAGGTGGCTAATTTGACCATGTGACACCCGGTCCACCGCTGTGGCCTGCTCGCGGAGAGCCCTGTGCAATTTCGCACAACGCGCCGGAGAGTCTCGATCGTCGGCAGGCAGGCAGGCAGGGAGCGCCGGAGGCTTTATGCACGTCTTCTGCAGAGGTACACGCCGCTCTCCGATGCATGCACTGTGGTGGCCGTGCCCCTCGTGTGCAGTGTTGTATTCGGTGCCGTTCGGACATTTTTTCTGACTTTCGTAGGTTGCAGCTTTCTTTTCCACTTGACTCGCATGCTTGTAGTAGAAACTTAATGTCTATTTAAGTTGCTGTTTTGAAGGTAATGATCGCATTCGTTATCTTGCGCAAGCATTTTTTTTTCTTGCTCAAAAACACAAAAACAATGCGTGATGAGTTGTTTTGCCGTAGTGCATATTTGTTGATGTTTAACATGCAATGGCCTTTGCTTTCCATGACCATAGGCACTGAGAATTATGCTATTTGAATAGCCCTGAAGTGTAGACAGACTCATTGATCAATATTCTCATCAACGGCCATGCGATTAACCCATTGAAAGATTGGGGGGATTCAAATATGTCTATTGCAGCGATATCTGGAATTACATGACCAATGTCATTGTTATTTGAATATAAACTAAATTACAAACGAAACAATTTTTATTTTACCAGGTAAGGCCCACTGAGCTATATAGCTCTTTTTCAGAAGGTACCTGGCCACAATTGATAGGTCCACGAAGTGGCTTATCACGCGGACATTTATTGCAGCCAAATACTCTAAATGCATGTTGATTCTAAATATGGAGGGAAAAAACGAAGGACCCGGAAAAAAATCCATGCGACCATGGGGGGAGAGAGACATGCAAACTACAAATATACAACAAGCGTCAGGGTTAGGATCGTATGTCGTGGTCAAAAGGTCATCGCAGCCAATCCCCATTGCACCAACACCCTCTGCCACCACCACCACCCCTATTAATCTTTCTACCAAATCCCACAACTCTATTAAAACTACAAGCAGTTCTTGCAGTGAGACAAGTGTTACCACTGCCCCACCCTACTGCCACGCTAGCAGTTGAGGCTTATTGGGAAAACTCAGTCAGCCTCCAATCTAGAGGTTCTTTCCTCTCCTGGGCTGCCCTTAAAGTCTGGATTTCCATCAACATCGACAAGTGAGCTATCTCCTCCTCCTCCTCGAAATCCTTGCTCCTTTAAATCTTGACTCAAGACATTTTCTCCTCTGCCTGGACAGAATTTCCGCAAAATGACGGCCGTCATTCTCCCGAAACATGGTGGAAACGGCGTCCATTAACGTCACAAGAATTGTGCCTATGGTTCGAGGTCACCTCAGCCCATTATTATTTCCTTGTTTTTTTAATGAACCGTTCCCACAACTTCTTCTAATTTCCGTACACTCATTTCCAAGAACTTTCATTTCAACATCAGCTGTTGCCAGACGTGTGCACTTGTATTTCTGTATTGTGTGTTCCCATCCATTCGCATTGCTCAAACACTTCAACCGTGGCTGTAAGTGCCGTTTGTGTTTGCACATGGACCATGAGTGCAGTTCCATAATATTTACAGCTTCAGGGCAGGCTGGAACGGGTATGCAAGGGGTTTTAAAGTTGGTTGAGCATCGCTTCCTTGCTGTTATTATTTTGGCCAAAATTCTCAAAAGGTGGCATTCCTTTTTAATGCCGAATGTTTTCCACTTTTGGATCTATTATAGCTTCCCTTTGTGTCATGGCTCACACATAGAGAATGAATGTATCATTTTTACACGAGCCATAGCAGCAATACCACATGCTTTCTGAGCAAGTCAATTTTACTTAGCTTGTTGGCATACATTTACAATTAAACTTTTTCTTATACAGATCCAGCTTAAGTGTTTTTGGTTAAATTGTTGCAGGGTTGCTGCACTTTACACGCGCACTGACAAGAGTGACTGTTGGGGCACGTTCTTATTGGGTAACACTCGGCAGGAGTTGATGTAGCTAGAGCCACACATGGCCACCTTTGTCTTGCCACATGTTGTGACAACTATTTTATCTAGGGCATTGGTTCCCAGCCTTTTGTTCCCACCGGGGCACCGCGATGGCACGGTATTAACTACCTCGCCTGGTATACAGGAGGTTGTGGGTTCAATTCTGACCCTTGACACCTGCTGCTGTATATTAGGAGGTTTGCATGTCTTGTCTCTCCGTGGTCGCGTGGATTTTTCTCCGGGTCCTCCAGTTTTTCCCTCCACATTTAGAAACATGCGTTTTGTATTATTTGGCTGCTGTAAATTTCCACATGATAAGCCACTTCATTGAGCTATAGCTCAAGTAGGCCTTACCTGGTAAAGAATATGTATATATAAATTTTGATTTAAAGCTTTCGTGACTGCAGGGATTCATATTCTGGGTTCTTTCGGTAAAGTCACGTAGGATGGAGATAAAATAATAAAAATTATAATAACAGAATAAAATTCTCAGGACGTTTTGGCCACGACACAAGTAGCCTTCCTCAGGTGAAGAAACAGGACTGTCCGAAGACAGCGCTGTCTTCAGGACTGTCCGGAAGGCTACTTGTGTTGTGGCCGAAACGTCGTGAGGATTTTATTCTGTTATTATTATTTTTATTATTTTACCTCCATTCTACGTGACTTTACCGAAAGAACCCAGAACACTATGTATATATAATTTAGCCTTTGGTCCGCAGACGACTGGTTCTGGGCGAGGCTGTGGACAGTGGTCCTGGAACTGTTTCAGATGAGTTTCTTTTCACTAAATGCCATATTTGTTTTCCTGCATGGTGGTCCATGGAAATCTCTCGAAGATTCATAGTGGTGGTCCAGGGGCTCAGACAGGTTGGGAACCCCTTGGCCCTAAGGGGCTGCTTCACTTTGTTCATAAACCAATTAGCCACGGTGATCCGTGGCCAGTATATGGAACCGGTGTGTCTGGCGTCAGTATTGTCATAGTGCAGTACACCAAGCTACACAACTGTCGTCCGTCTCCTTTTACTTTGTGTTCGACTTTACGCCTGCCTCTCTTGATGCCTGTACTTGCTGTGCGGCCTGTCCCTTCGTTGCTGCGTGGCATGACCCTCAACCTCTTGACCCCTCCCCGAACCTCTTTGTTGTGAAACTCTCCGCGCATCAGTGCCCGTAATGTTGTAGTAGCCAGTGGGTAGCGAGTGTGCGCGGCATCCGTCGCTAACATATCACCGCAGGGAAAGGTGCATTTTACGACCTCACCAAAGTTAACGGGCATTAAAATGTATTTGTGTTGTTTGAAAATTAAGGTTCCTTGCCTTTCTTTCTTTGAGACCATTGTGTACATATCTTATGAGAGTGTATTTGTTGTCTGCAACTGCATCATCAATGACTTGTTATTTCTTTTGTCTGCTTGGAAATAATCGGAATCCACTGACGTCACAAGACCGTGTAGCATAATTACCGGTTAACGTTGAACTGTATGCTCCAGCAGCACGTAGTGTTGGTGACAAAGTAGACCACGTGTGAGGAAATTACCCAACTGCTAAAATGAGCGCATGACAACATTGTGATGTTGTGACTCCAATGCAGAAGTGTGTGCCATGGTGGTGAAATGTTAGCTATCTCACCTGGCATACAAGAGGTCGTGGGTTCGATCCCGGCCCTGACGACTGTATGTTTGTAGTTTTCCATGTCCCCCCCCCGTGGTCACGTGGATTTTGCTGCTTTTGTCCCCCTCCACATTTAGACTCGACAGGCGTTCAGAGTATTTGGCTGCTATAAATCTCTACACTATAAGCCACTTTGTTGACCTATCATTTGTGAAAGTTAGGTTGCTTCTTTAAAAAACACTATATAGCAGCTCAGTAGTGCACCTCTCCTGGTAAAACGAAAACATTGTTTAATAGAAATAGTCAAGGAGGTAAACGGTTGCAGAGATGGAGATGACGGTGAGGGGGGAACATTGGCCACTGGGGTGAGGATCAAGGGAGGTGAGCGTCCGCTCGAGTTCGCTCGCCCGCAAGGAGCGCGTGCAAATCATCGACACCTTTTTCTATGGCCAATTAACGTAAAAGCGCAATTCTCCAATTACTGTGCAGTGTGAACAATACACGCGAATTACTCAGCGGGCTGTGACAGCCTGTTTGTTAATCGTCATTACAGTTTTCGCAAGGGAGGCCAAGATAACCGTAATTGCACAGAGTTTTTTTTAAAGTAATTTAGTTTTGTGTAATTTTCTCATTTTGCTATCTCAGCGATGACAGGCACACAACGATCGCTTTTTTTTTTACTCCCTTTCTAAATCGTGTAACTTACATTGAAACGGCTCACTTTGGTAGTGCCCCCCTAACGCGGCTAAGGTGGCTTGAGAATCTCGCTTTTTAACTCTCACTCGCTCTGCGTTGAGCCACGTTGTGACCACTCGGCAGTCCGGCACACCCAGGGGTAAATCGTTGGAGAAAACCCCTTTAGCAGGGCTTCTCATTCATTCTGAAAAAGGTTTCCCCGCACCAATCACGGCAATTTACAACCAAAAATGGTAATTTGGTTTCGCCAACGCAATAGAGTATATCAGTCCAATACCTTGTGTGATACTGTAGAGGTGAAAACATGAAGACGCTGTTTAAATCTAAGTTCCATTGCAAACTAATCGATACGACTTAAGCTTGTTAATGCCAAGAGCTTCATCAATTCTTAACATTTGCTTATTTGACGTTACAGTACTTATTTACTGTAATTATTATTCCGCCTACTATTGCAGGAGGGTCTGTGAGTGGCCGATTTGTTTGGTGTGTTGCAGGCGATGTGCGAGTAAGAAGCCAGGCAGGATTCTCAGCCCAGACCCAGCGCAGGGGCTCCTACCCTCATCTCGACTTTAGACTTTTGCACTGTAAGTCAGTCCCCGAGCTCATGGCGATCCCACGCCTCACGCACCCGCCCCCCACGTCATCACCCTCGCACCACTTCAGACGCACGCCTCCTCGCTCAAGTGGATGGGACGATGCACGTTGTGTCGGGGTTAGGGTGACCGAGCACGCAGCGTGCCCACCCCCCCCCCCACCCACCAGGCCACTAGGCCAGCTCGTACAGAATCTTACCGGGTAATTTGTGTTGTTAGTTCTCAATTTAACACGCAGGCTTTCGCGACCAATTTTGTCCATAGTAGAGGTTTTTGGGTTAGATCGCGTAAATATAAATGTGTCGTTAAACTCGCCATCACCCGACAGCCAATTAGTGAGGTTTGTCACGTAAACATAACGCGCCATTTCGCTACTAGTTCAGCACACCGGTGTGTTGGAGAGTAAACCCACAACATTTACAATTCAAGTACCGTGACGTTTCACCAGTAATGACAACTAGCATCATCAGGCGGACAGCCAGAGTTGCGGAGAAATCCTCCTGTTTCGGTCTTAAATAGAGGGATTAATGTGATGTCATCACTTGTGAGCCAATCGTGTTAGTTCTCAAAGCTGGCGAAGTGAACGACCAAGGCACCCACGAATGTCCCAGCTCGTCGTCACGGTTGACATCGCCGGATTTGAAATTCTTCTGAATGCAGCTGGTCACATTAAATTATCAGAATCGTGTACAACACACGTCTCGCTGACGAAAGAGAAACTTATTGAGCTGCTCAATGTAATGCTTAAAAAGGCAAGAGTACAAATAATAAGTCATTTTTGGAGGTAAACCAGAGTTCCTGACAACCTCCTTACAAAGCACTACTTGATCTACTCTCATATTTTTGTGATACCATTAGAATTACTATAGAATTTAGCCTTTTTTTTCAAGAGTCCCTCACATTCACCGCACAGGAAAGTGCTGAAAATACTGTTGAATCGTGTGCCGTTCTCAGCTTTATTGTGATTTGTTTTGCCGGAGTGTTTGTGGCTTGATGATGATGATGTTGTTTGCTCATCCAGGAAAGTCTCAATAAGTCTTAAGAGACGCGATGGGTTTCATTGAATAGCTCCACGTGTATGGCAGTGTGACAAGTAACCTCGAACAGTTTTAAAGCAACAGTATGGTTTCTCCGATCACGACGGTTTTTTTCATGGTTTCGAATCCCAACTGGGTTGCCTTCCTACGTGAAGTTTGAATCCTGGACATCTGTGAAAAAGAGCTTCATCGCTCATCAGATTCCTCCAGTATAAATAAATATTCTTATTCTGTATGTTCACCCAACGTGCTACATGAGATTCCTCCGAGTTCCCTGAAATTTCCCCCCATAACTGAAAAATATGTATATAATGTAACCCCCTTCTGCAAGAACAACAAAACTTGGCAGGATACCCTTGAAAAAAAGTCTTGAGAATCCAGTGAGGCTTTCGTGGGTAAACAAGCAAATCATATCAAAATCTGTGCAATTCATGTCCTTTGGGGGTGAAAATGGGTAACATTCAATTTGTGACAGAATTTTCAACGAAACTTTGAAGTACCCCGATCACCCCGCATGTACCCCCCTCCAGCGATTGAAATGCCATCTTTGCTCATGCGCGTTCGGGTTTCCCTTCGACGGGGAGCGTCTTCGCCTCACGGAGCTCGGTTCTTGGTAGCCGGAGTGGAGTCTCTCAGCCAGGTGGAACCGCATTTAATTCGGGAAATAAATATTTATGCCTCAGAATAACAACAAATTAATTCCGTTTGAAAGGGCAGAGATGAGAATGCTGAGATGCGGGAGCCACTGATGTTCTCGAGAAGTTAAGGCGAGGTGAGACTTTGGTGGTTGGGCACACGTAAAGAAGCGATAGAAGAGCTATAGAGACACCAGCGGTGCAGGGGAGGAGGGGAGGGAGACCGAGGGTGAGAGATGGGAGGATGCAGCGGAACGAGGACAGTGGACGTGACTTCGAAGAGGCGCAGAATAGCAAATCCGAGCAGCCTGTGACCCCAAGCGGTTCTTTTGGTTTAGCAGAAGTCTTTGTGCCTTGCGGTGGAGAAAAGTAAGAGTCTCCCACCAGCAGTTGCCGACACATTGTCCTTCCTGGGCTCATCGGTGGTGCCGGCGCCGTCTTGATCCCGTGCTCCTCGCAGTTGCCGGAGCTTTGTCGATCCTGTGCTCATCAGCCATGCCGTCTCGATCCTGTGTCGCGTATGCAGCCGCGGCGGCAGGCTCTGGAGAGAGCGCGTCGCGGCGCAAGGTCAAGCGCCTGCTGAGCTGCCAGCGCTATCTGCGGGCCACTCCGGTGCAGCGGGGAGGCCGCTCACGTCTCTCCCTTCACATGCTGGACGACGATTACGACGGGCAGGCCAAGGTGGGCTCCCGCACGGCTTCACATTCGCAGCAACGATCGTCTTCGCGTTCGTAACGACGATCGTCTTCGCGTTCGTAGCAACGATCGTCTTCGCGTTCGTAGCAACAATCGTCTTCGCATTCGTAACAACGATCGTCTTCGCGTTCGTAACAACGATCGTCTTCGCGTTCGTAACAACGATCGTCTTCGCGTTCGTAACAACGATCGTCTTCGCGTTCGTAACAACGATCGTCTTCGCATTCGTAACAACGATCGTCTTCGCGTTCGTAGCAACGATCGTCTTCGCGTTCGTAACGACGATCGTCTTCGCATTCGTAACAACGATCGTCTTCGCATTCGTAACAACGATCGTCTTCGCGTTCGTAACAACGATCGTCTTCGCGTTCGTAACAACGATCGTCTTCGCGTTCGTAACAACGATCGTCTTCGCATTCGTAACAACGATCGTCTTCGCGTTCGTAGCAACGATCGTCTTCGCATTCGTAACAACGATCGTCTTCGCATTCGTAACAACGATCGTCTTCGCATTCGTAACAACGATCGTCTTCGCGTTCGTAACGACGATCGTCTTCACATTCGTAACAACGATCGTCTTCGCATTCGTAGCAACGATCGTCTTCGCATTCGTAACAACGATCGTCTTCGCATTCGTAACAACGATCGTCTTCGCATTCGTAGCAACGATCGTCTTCGCATTCGTAACAACGATCGTCTTCGCATTCGTAACAACGATCGTCTTCGCGTTCGTAACAACGATTGTCTTCGCATTCGTAGCAACGATCGTCTTCGCGTTCGTAACAACGATCGTCTTCGCATTCGTAACAACGATCGTCTTCGCATTCGTAACAACGATCGTCTTCGCATTCATAACAACGATCGTCTTCGCATTCGTAACAACGATCGTCTTCGCATTCGTAACAACGATCGTCTTCGCATTCGTAACAACGATCATCTTCGCATTCGTAACAACGATCATCTTCGCATTCGTAACAACGGTCATCTTCGCATTCGTAATGACATTCACATGGCACCCAGTTATTTAAATGCCTTAGAAACTCAAAGTGCATGTCATCACATCTCATTGTAAATATTTGAAGAGCACCCCCAGTGGTAGCTGTCCCTGCACTGCACAAGGTAGCTCAGCCGCCAGCCTTGCAAGAGGGACATTGTCCGCCAGTACGGGGGGAGGATAATTGCTGCGTGTAATCTCGATTGAGTTAATTTGGCGATACATATATATATATTTTTTAATCTGGAAAATTTGGACCATGACGCCGGCGGCACACAGTGGCCCACTCGTTATGAATGACGACACGGGATCTTTAACGTCCACTGTGAAGCGGACAGCACGTGCGGTTAATACTTCCCCCGCAACTCCAATTAGCCCAGTTGGCCCGGTACGAAAGAAGTTCAACGTACATTCACAGTATTAACCAGGGGCGGCTTTCGGATTCGACCTACACGTCTCTCCTAACAAACAGCGACCACTCTACCGTTGGGCCTGCCCCACTCGTTCCCAGTCTTTCTCATACGACGACGATGATGATGGCGATGGTGATGGCATCAGGGGTGGCGCGTGTATGACCTTATCACCTTGGCTGATCATGTTTATTAATCATCACTTGTTTATTCTTGCCGGTTTTTGTGCAAAGCCCTTTGATCAATTTCGCTTCCAACCCCCCCCCCCCCCTGGTCAGGTCCAGTCTCAAGAACTTCCTAATCTGTTGTGACTGTGACTATCGCTTCTCTGCAATATGTAAATTATATAAATTAGTGCCACGCTATTTTTGTACGGCGTCTTCAGGTGCATTGGAATTTATAATGCCATATGATAGTACGGTAATTCATATATGTATAAACCTGTGCATAAAATATATAGTAGATAATGTACCATTGGTTTGTCGTGAAGTGTAGCTTGGGAGGTTTTTTTTTACTCCCAATTTTTTTATTTGTATCATTCTCCGCTCATTGCTCGGACCATCTTTGAGTAGACGGGGGATGGAGCATTGCATGGGTATTGCTGTGCACGTGGTTTGTGCTAAAAGTGAGACGTGTGTGCCTTCCGTTGCAGTGCATGTTGATGAAGGCTGCAAGCTGGAGCTTTGACATGTTTTTGTTCGACCGATTAACCAACGGTAAGACTTTTAATTTCGCTCTTGTTAAAATATTCATGCGTCCTCTCAAAGGCATACGTTTCCCCGACCTAAGTCAGAATTAAATTATGAGCATTCCCTTGAAAATGAGATCATACCAGCTGAGCATGCATGCACATTTATATTATACTGCAATGATCTTAAACTTGGTAAAAAAAAAATATAGAAGTCTTTTTAAAAAATTTTATCAAAAAAATTTAGTTCTGGCCAATTACCGCTGATGTTAGTCATGGCCAAGAGTTCAACTCGGTTCGCTTGGTTCATTTAGCGCACCTCCACTCTCTCCAAGTGTATTGCTACGTCAACTCCGCTGCGTCAGGTTATCGTGGTTGTGTCGCACAGCTCTCCAATGTTTTCCCGGTTGCACCGCCGCGCGTTGTTTTGCGCACGACGTCCATGGTTTTGCCCCCGCATGCTGGGAAGCTTCTTCAGGAGCCGAATGTCAAACATCATCGGGAAGCTGCATCGCTGCTACATTAAAAGTTTTGTAGTTTAACACGTAGGCTTTCGCGACCAATATCCTTAATAGAGATTTTTTTGGGTTAGATCACGTAAATATTAATGTGTCGTTAAACCCACCACCGCCCGACACAGCCAATTCGTAAGGCTTGTCACGTAATCGAGAAGTTCCAATTAGTCACTAGTTCAGTACACCGGCGTGTTGGAGAATTTAATCCACAACATTTACAATTCGAATACCGTGACGTTTCGTCAGTAATTACAACCCAGCCTCATCGGGCGACGGCCAAAATTATGGAGTAAATCCTCCTGTTTCGGTCTTAAAAGTTTTGTACATTGTTTTTCAACAGGGAACAGCCTGGTGTCCCTCACATGCCACTTGTTTAATTTCCACGGACTAATCCAGCACTTCCAACTCGACATGGTCAAGCTCCGTGGATTTCTCGGTGAGATTTTAAAGCTGCTGCCGCTGCTGCTGCCGCCTACACACCAAAGGCAGGGGTGGACTGCCATCAAACGCTGTGGGTCTGCACCAGCAAGCCTCTTGTCATGGCTTTGCATTTATATATTGTTTTGCACTGAGTTGGTTCCCCACTGCCCGTTCGGTTTGGGTTGTTCCATGTCAAATCATCAGATATGCAGGCGCCACGGTGGAAGTGACATGGCTTTGTTTTTTACCTGGAACCTCGGAAGCAGTGTGAGAGGTATTATGAGGTGGTTTAAAAAATGTTCACCACATTATCACTTAATATTTAGAAGGGAGGTTGGTGAAGGCCCTCTCTCGACATGTGTTTCTTTGCAGCCATTTCTAGGAATCTGTTGTAGATGTAGAATGTTGCGCACTGTCTTTGCACGTTCCTGCATTTCTGTATGCAGATTCAAAATCTATAAACCTAAGTACAATATTATGTTTTTTTTTATAAACTTAATTTGAACCTTGCAAATATTTTAAAAGTTTTTATTTAAGGTGCAATGTTTGGCACCTTTGCTTTGCACCACACACACCACAGCAAATCGAGTTTCTTGGCACCATTTCTTGACACGGATCAACCCGTTTGTAAACTGTAATGGTAATCTGGTGATTAAAAGCAGTTTGTGACGTCTGAAGAGGAGAGCGACAGTTGTTCCTGAAGTATCAAGAATATTTTCTCCCGGCTGACTGTCAAGCCCAAATTCATCATCACCCCGGTCAATTGTCAACTTTTATGTTACCAGGAGTCCTGAGAACACGAGATAATTTTTTAAACAAAATAAGTGACAGCGAGTAAATACATATATTGAATACAGCCTGTTCTCCTATAACACGGTAGCTGTCTTCCTGAAGAAAACCGCGTTTTGGAAAAATTGCGTTATTATAAATAACATAATGTAGGGTAAAGCATCGGTCAGTAACAACACGTGAGATGAGTACGCAGGCTGAACAAAGACCGAGGCGTGTGGGTAGCGTCTAGAAGCATCCAGCAGCATCCCAATGCCTTGTGTGATGCTACGCCAGGGCAGCCGTGTGACCGCTTATTCCCATTTGCGAAACGTAGTTCCGTTCACTCAATCGCGTTATATCCGATTTGCTTTCGGCTTATAAAAAGTACATTCCCTAAATGCATTCATCGCCTCATGAAAACACGCAGCGTTATAAGAGAACAGACTGAAGTTGCTTTTGCGGGTGCTTGGAATTGAGTGAACGTTTGCGTACGTTGTGTTTATGCAGTGCACCATTTTTATGAGCAACACAACCGATGGAAGTTTTAGGCAATTGGCAAGTCTACTGAAAGCTCATGTTCTGAGGCTCGTTATTGACGGTGCCGTGGCTTCATACACGTGTGTGTGTTTGCATGTGCCTGGTGTGTGTGTGTGTGTGTCTGTTTTCTCCACGGTGGGTGCGGAGCGGTAGTGTAGCGGTTAGCGCGCTGCGCTACGAACCTGGCGACCCGAGTTTGATTTCCGCTCGCAGCCAACACCAGTGACGCTTACCTGAACTGCTCATGGGCCTCTCCCCTAGAAAGACTCGGCCTCAAATGAGTACCTGGTTCGGTGTGTAAACATCGCCACTGGGGAGACAAAGGCGGCCGGGCGTGGTGCCGCTTGCGAGCAGCACTTGCTGCCAACAGTCTGTTAAGGCTGTACGGTGGGTGTGCGGTGGCGGTGTTGTTTTTTGTGCAGTGATGGTGCAGGAAGACTACCATAACCAGAACCCGTACCACAACGCTGTGCACGCGGCAGACGTCACGCAGGCCATGCACTGCTACCTGCGCGAGCCCAAGGTGAGAAACGTCGACGCGCGTTGGCGGACCCTTTTTTTTTTTACTCTTTCGTTGATTTTTTTTAAAAGGCATTGCTAAATTCCCTTCTCATGCCCTCTACTGCCCAGAGAGAAGGGCCCACGGCCTTGGGAGCTTGAGAGCTCCACGGAGAGGATATCGGGGCCTACTTTTCCACGCAGGGAGTTACCCACGCATTACCCCCCCCGTAGCAAGCGACCAGGTTCTGCTGGGTGGACAGAGGTGGTGGGCGGAGGATTTGAGAAACTTTCCCTTTTGTTTCAATTGACTGCCACGCTGGGTATCCGGTGTGCTCGGTTGCATACGCAGTTTTGCTTCCCCCAATCTGTTGTGATCTCGTCATTGGGCATGTCTGATTTGGCACAACTTCTGTACGTTTTAATTCCAATGAAAAGTGTTATTACATTCCTAGGATGTTGTTCCTCGAGCTTGGTTGGTAACACAGTTTGCGCCAGTTGGAGATGAAGAGCAATGGTCAGTTTCGCGGCCTCGCGCGTTATAATACACGAGCGGATTTCTGCACTGTTTGAATGGTACCTGCTGCGCGCCCACTTCAAGCCAAGTGTCACTCGCTGTCTGCTCAGATTCACCGACGCTATCCTTTGCCTTGCGTTCCCCTCTGTCCACACGAGTGGCACTCTGTGAAGAGCACTTGGCCTGAGAGGCAAACGACTCCGCCAGTTCAAATTCTCGATTGAAGTGTCAATTCAGGCCACCAATCCCATCTTTCGTTGTGGCTTATAGCGAGTAGTTCTTCTCTGGTAAGCCTAAATCACGCGATGGGAATGTTGAATCTCCACCACTAGCTTGGCCCGATGGAGATGAGCAGTTGTTGCACCCTCGATTGAGCAAGGAGCCACTTGGACAGTGTTTGACCTCCGCACCGTTGTCAAATTGAACGAGTGGATGCCCGTTAATGGATGAAAATTCAGATGGACCATATACGATGTGCCGGACTTATTCTGCCAATGACGTGAATTATTTTTATTTTTTTCTAATTGCGTCATGGATTGTGCTGCCCGTGACTGCCCAAAACGTAGCCCCCCGCCACAGCGCTTTGACAACTTCCTTTGTGCATGGCGGCCGCCGAACGGAGCACAATCGACACTCAATATCAGTGCTCTTCACTGCAAGGCCCCGCAGGCCACTGGCGGCCCCTGGTGGCCTTTAGTGCCACCGCTGACGTGCGGCCCCCGACAACACACGTGAAAACACCCCCCCATCATCATCATGTGTGATGATGTCTTATCAGTGAAAGTGGCCCCCTCTGAAAATTAGTGAAGAACACTGCTCAACATCCCGCTTAGCTTCACAGGCCTGTTATACAAGGCCTATGACCAACATTCTGGTAATGTGGTCATAGGCCTCGTATAACATCACTACCCTTAAAATCCTGGTCCAAGTATTATGACTGGCTTTAGACATTTGGCCAACCGATAGAGTATTATGCTCGCGAGTGTGGAAATCGCAATGCCCGTAGAAAGCTCGGGCGTATGTGTTCGAGAAGATACCGTTTGGACTTTGCACAGCTAGGCGAGGAAGCCTACTTTCTGTACTGCTTCTGACGTAGACACACCGCCTTGTGTGCCGAGTACCGCGCAGAAGCTGGTTCTGTCTGTGGTGGCAGCAACGTTTGTTCGAGAGTGTGCGTGCGCCGTGCATGTGATACCCCGGGCTGCCACCACGATATGCCGCTGCGGTCGGAGCCGAGTTGTGCACACAGCGTGGAAAGAGGCTTAACCGCATGCACACGTATCGCTTTCGGGAGCATCCGTTCCAACTGTCGCCAAAGGTCGGTTCTAAAGCAAGCCACGAATAGCGTCGGTGTCTCTAAATCCCCGTGGCCAAATAGTGAAAGAAAAAAAATGGTAGGGTATGCTGTACAGAGAGCCCCCCCCCCCCCCCCCCGGTCACCTCGTGCCCTGCACCCCGCCCCCGTCATCCTACTCCCAGGAATGTGGATTGTGGAGAGCGGCGCATTGAAGCCCAGCAACCTTGGCCTTGCTTGTAAGGCATCCCTCATAATGACATGACTGCGGTCAGTGATTGCGTTGTCTCAGAGCCATCGGACCCGATGACGGCGCGTTTGGTTTTTATTCGGTGAAAAATATAAAGATTCACAATATATTTTTTTTTCCGGCCACCACACACACGTTTCTTTTTTGCTGTGATGTCTTATCCAGGGGAGCGCAGTGGTTTTGAGTTGCAGAAATTACTGCGTGCGGCAGTAGTAGCAATCGTAGCTGCTCCCCGGTCTTTTCTTAACCCTAAATCTTTCCAGTCAGTGCATAGCTCTTGCTGTTATTGGAAGCCACGATGGTACATGGAAATGGCATGCTCGTCACGGCAGTCCAGGGGAGCCAAGTTCGAATACAAATTAAAATGTGGATAATGTCATTACGCGCGTCCCTTCTGCCTTGCCTGCGTTGCGGAAAAGGGAATTTGGCAGGGCTCACTCTGCGGCCTCCCACATCTCTTACAAATGAATCTGCCCAGCAGAACGTAGCAGAACAAACTTCCCCGAGTGCTGCGAGTCGCGATGACATATTGCTTGAACAACGTTATTGTTTCCAGTTGCGAAAATTTCGGCCAACAACGAGCATTCTGCGAGTTCGCCATGTTAAGTAAATTGTTAAAGGTGCAGCCCTGCATTTTGCTAGCTCATGTCACTGCTGGCAGAAGGAACCTCCACTGAAGAGAGAGCCCCTGCATGCATTGAGATTGTTTAAATAATTTCGCTGCTATAAATGTCCAAATGATGGACCACTTTATTGAACTATTATTCGTGGCCAGGTCGCTTCTCAATGATAAGTGAATACCTCCTTGGGCTTTGTCTGATAGCATGGGCATGGTTTAATTGTATTTGTATGTGTTTGGGTGATTTGTTTACCTTGTAATTCACGCTACTATCGTGTTTTTGTACTGTTTGTTGTTGTAACTTATTTTACCAGCCCCAACTGGACATCTGTGAAAAAGAGCTTGATCGCTCATCGGATTCCTCCAGTATAAATAAAAAAATTTATTCTACAGAGAGGTTTTAGTTTATGTATACATTAAGCTTTTATTTAACAACACACGAGCCCATTGCAGCCAGTCGCGCGATCCAGTTTGAGGGTCACCCGGCACTAGAAGCCGTCCCGATGCAACCGAGCTGGATAAACCAGAGCGGGGGGGGAGGAGGAAGTGGGTTGGAGGGGAGGGGCCCGCTTCCCCAGCAAGAGTGAGGCCGTGATAATGGGGGCAAGCGAAATGTTTTGATTCGGGTTGGGGCGGGTGGCGGTTGGGGGGGGGGTTCCACAGAGTTTTGAAACGTCGGACGTCGCGCCGAACAACACGCTGCTCATCACACCGCAGAGCCGCACGGCACGCACCACGTGAGCCCACCCAGTGGCTATTGACCACTTTCGCACACCTGCAGAAAGCCGCCGTCACATCCACTATTTGCATGTGCGCGGAACGTCAACACGGAACAGCCTTCCCCTAGCAGTTGGTCAACTTGTCAGAGCGTGCTCAAACAGTGTCCCATTCAACCTGCCACTCTCGCAGTACTACGAAGATTCATTTGGCACTTTTAACGCGTCCACAGGCAGCCGCTTTGTTGCAAATAATCGTTGGTTTTCAGCTAAGCATTGCGATGGCTGTTCCAGTTTCCTTTTTAATTTCGTTTCAGATGCTCCTTGGGGTTGTGCCGATTGTTAATTGTATTCGCATGTACCTGTGTTCATTATAGCCTCTGTTTTTATATCATCTTGTCCACATCCTGTATACGGCTTGTACTCTACATTTAGAAACATGCGTTTGGGTTAGTATTTGGCTGCTTTAATGTCGACATGATAAGCCACTTCATTGAGCTCTTGCTTAGTGGGTTTTACCTGGTTAAATTTAAATAGAAATTTTTTGTATCCATTGGTTAAATCGTTATTATTTAAAGAACGGTATACGTTATAGCGTACGTTTGAATATTCTCGTGGTATGCATATGCGGTGTCGCATTACGTGTAGGGCATTAGAAAGAATGTCCGTGCATGCTTCTGCCTTTGTGCGGCCGTGCACGTGCTGTTGTTTTCAGCGTGATGTCAGCTGTGATACCGAGTGCGAGAGGTTACTTAGTTTAGGGGTTACGCAGCACGTGCCCCAAAAAATGACAGTTCCAGTTGAACCCCCACCCACCCTTCTCTGTCATCTGTCTCGTCCGCAAAGTGTCACGCAGATGGGAAAGCGTGACGCTCGTCAACGCTCGCCACTGCGCCAGTTGGGGCCAAGTCAACAGTTCATGTTACCCCGCCACCCGGCAATTCTCTGCGCAGGACGTTACTAAACTACGACGGTGTTTTTTTGTGTTAATCTCGACACCACCGTCGCGGCTGCACGGACCACGGTTCTTCAACGACGCCACCCATGCCCCTCCGTTTTGACAAGGGGGTGGCAGGGACTGGGCCCGATTGCGCAATTCGTGATCACAGTATTGCTCGGAACCTTCAGCAAGTGAATGGTGGCGACAGGCTGATGCAGGCTTGAATGGAACTTGGGACAGTCGGCTAATCACGCATTGGAATAACAACAGCCACGTCTTGCAGATGACCAGCCAGTAACCATGGAAAAGCGGCTGCAGAGCCGGTTCTGGCATCAAGGACAGGGGCACGTATTTGCTCATCAGCTACCAGTTATTCCAGCAAATGTGTGTCTGTGTGTATGTGGGGAGCGGTAGTGGTTTGCGCGCCGCGCTACGAACCCGATGACCTGGGTATGATTCCTACTCACGGCTGACACCAGTGACGATTATCTCAACTGGTCCTGGGCCTCCCCGAGGTTGACTTCGGCCTCAAATTATTACCTGGTGCGGTGTGTAAACATTGCCCACGATGGAGACGAAGGCGGCCGAGCGTAGTGCTGGCCACCCACCCCCTTGGTGTGCCGCTCTGGTCTACATCGGTGCTCGCTAAAAGCAACAGTCTGTTCATGTGTAAACACGTGCGTGGTCACGCGGGTGTCTGTGGGGAGCGGTAGTGTAGCGGTTAGCGCGCTGCGCTATGAACCTGGCGACCCGGGTTCGATTCCCGCTCACGGCCAGCACCAGTGACGATTATCTGAACCGGTCCCGGGCCCCCCCTAGGTCGACTCAGCCTCAAATGAGTACCTGGTGCGGTGGATAAAAACATCGCCACTGGGGAGACAAAGGCGGTCGGGCGTGGTGCTGGCCACCCACCCCCTCGTGTACCATTCCGGCCTTCATAGGTGCTCGCTAACAGCACTTGCTCCTACAGTCTGTTAAGGCTATACGGGGGATCTTTATCTTTGTATAGCTACAGTCAACATCTCGTGATTTAAACTAGATTCGAAGCTTTCGTGACTACAGGAATTACTTTTTGCTTCTTTGGGTAAAGTCACGTAGAAAGAAAATAAATTAAATGATAATAGAATACGACGTTTTGATTGCAACACAAGCAACCATCATCAGGTAAGAATGAATGAGAAAACAAACATAGTTAACTTCGAAATATAATGCAAATACAACACAACGTATATTTTGTTTCAAGTTTTTATTTTATTTATCCAGGTAGGAAACCCAGAGGACCAAGAGTGACCTGGGTCACCCAAAATTGCAACAGAAAAACGGAGTACAGCAATGAAGCAAAATGTGCTGCGGGTTTTAATATTTTGCGCAACGCCCGTCCATATGTGGCCACCTGAATTGTCGTGTTCATCGATGCTTGCGTGTGGCGTCTGTGCGTTTACGGGCGAGTTGACTTGACTACAAGATGGTACACGACTACGAGACGGCAGGCGACTACGAGACGTGCTGAGATACGTCCGCAGCTGCAGCAGCAGTGAGGTGCGGTGGTTGGCGCGCTTCGATGGTGCGCTCCTGGCGTATTGCTGGCTTTAGTAGGTGCTCACTGAGAGCACTTGGTTCCTGTTAGGCTATACGTTAATCTGTATATATGATCTGGAAGTTTTTAATGTATTTGTGTATAACCAAGTGTGTGCAGCATATTGTTACGTGGATGCCTGTACGTGTCCATTGACGTGTGGAGAGCGGTCGTGTGGTGATTGGCGCAGTGCGTTACGAGTGCGGCGACCCGAGTTCAATTCCCGCTCGCTGCTGGCATCGGTCATGGATACCCGAACAGGTAGAGGCCGTAAAAGTTGCTCTTTGGTGCAGTGTGTAAACATCACCAATTGGGAAGACAAAGGCAGCCAGGATTGGTGCTGGCCCACCGACCCTCTCGCGTGCCACCAGGAGGGTGCTGGCTGTGACGGCACTTTCCTCGACAGTCTGATGGAGGCCGTAACGGGTGGCTCCGTGTCGTGTGCGTCATCACGTGCGGGCTCACTCTCTCTTCCTCCATGGCTCACCAACGCGTGACTGGCGTGTTGTTGCCTTCAGCTGGCCGTGCACCTGACGCGCAGAGACATCATGCTGGGCCTGCTGGCCGCGTCGGCCCACGACGTGGATCACCCCGGGGTCAACCAGCCCTTCCTCATCAAGACTCACCACCACCTGGCCAGCCTCTACCACGTAAGGGGCACCTCTTGCGCAGGCCGCGGGCCCGCGTCGGCGGTGTGAGCGACGCGAGGAGATGGGAGAAAATGTTGGGAGAGGGAGAGAGATAGGATAGAGAGACACAAGGGGGGAAGCAAAGAAACACGAAGCGAGGCACGAGAAGAGCGAGACAGACCCTCGGGTGACCCAGGGAGGTCGGGTAATTCCCTAGCTCCGAGTGCAGCGTCTTCCGCATATTAAGAGGCTAATGAAAAATAATCACGGGTTTTCACGGTTTTTATCACGGTTTTTACTGCCACCGAGAGGAAAGAAGCTTTTCAAGTGTTTCGGCAAATGTCCTGCAGGAAATATTGAGGTTCACAGTGGGAAGGGGTTTCTTGTATATACCGACAACTCGGCATGGGTGCAGTTGTGAGCATGTCACTGCGGCACAATGAGTGTTCCGAGTCTGCATAACGATTAAAGATTCCTACGGGCGAGTATACGAGAGTGTATATGTTGTAGCTTTAGTCGTTTGATTGGGAGAAGTTTCCAATTTGGGAATTGGTTTTTGACGGTGGCAGTTTTTTTGCAGTTGACGTCACCGAGCCTAAAATGATTAATATTTGTATTTGGGTTCTGCCACATGGTGGTCGTGAATTCAACCGCCGGTGGCATCTCCATCTGCAGAATATGACGACCCAGTGGCATCTAGATCAACAGGAGATTCTACAACTTTTAAAGCCCTTCTCTGTGTTTAGTGTACACGCCGTGCAACACGTTTGGAATCCCATAGGAGTGTAAAGTTGGACGTATGAACAAATCGACTTACGGACAGACCTCTGGAACCTAACTTGTTTGTAAGTAGAGGAGTCCCGGTGTTGTCTGTCATTCGCCCTCCGCCACCCAACAGCATTTTCAACTTTTACAAATGCAGTGACCATTGTGTTGGTTTCGAAAACCTGCGTTTTAAGGACTCTTACATTTTTCCTTCCTTGCATTCAGCCTGCATTATTGCGTTGACATTTGCAAAGCATTTAGGACCGTAATACAAACAAGTACCGTTAAAAACGAGGTGAAACATACATCCACATTTTTTTTGTCAAATCGTGATCCCGAATTGTGGCGGTAAACGACTGTAGAACGGTGCACCACTTCAAAACGAGATTATGCCCTTCGGCACGCGAGATTTGGCCGGGTGGATTTGCAACAGTGGGAAAATAACGTTGCTCTTTAAGGTTGGCCCAGTCTTTGCTGGAGGGCTCGGTGGTGATAAGTGTGTTGACAGCTGAAAAGAGCAGGATGAATGTAAATAAAACCTTGTTTATATGAATGTGGATCCACTCGGGGTTTAAATCTACAGCCTTTTTGAAGCATTGGTGTGTAAGAGCAGCTTGACCCTAAGTTGAACCTGGATAGCTGAAAGAAATGCAAGAATTGCCAGCTCAGGATAGAGGAAGGTGAGGTCGTGATGATGATGATAACATGAAGAATAGGTTCGCAGAAGTGGAAACTTGCATACGCATAAATGCGTACATGCACACGCATCGTACCCCATGCAACACTCAAGCACACACTGCCACCATCTACACATTGTACTGGGACAACACGTAAAAATGTGCACTGCGTTTAAAAAAAAAAATATCCCGGCAAATAAGCGTTATGAAAAAAAAACACGAGTGCCCGAAGAACTGCATCGTGGTCATCTCTTCTCTTTTGAACACCGTTTTTGGCGCAGCGCCGACTAAAGGTCATTCACACGCGCGCACACACTGCGAACGACTCCCGCGTTGGCTACCGGCATGCAAACATAAACCATAAACCGTGTGTAAGCACAGCCAAGTGCAAACAAAGGTAGTTGTGCGCGGTTGCGTGCGTACTCTTTGCAAGGCCCACGCACGCGTGAGGTTCTGGCCTGTGTCGCACGGTCGCGTGCGACATTAGTGGCGACTACCGTGAGTGGCGCGTATCCGAGCAAATTGATGACGTGTTGGTGGCATGTGTTCAGGCAGTGCATCTTCTCTTTGACGACACATCGCCCATCCCTCATCGGACACGAGATGATTATTCTTATCATTATTATGAGGTTCATTATTCACACGTTACGAGTGTAGGCATTTGGGAATTGCACTCATTGGATGTTCACCCGTAGGGATCTGTGTTTCACACATGCTAATGCGTCACTGCCTCTGCGCACACGCTTGCTGTTATTTTTCCCTTCATCTCACGTCACTCTGTGGTTAGACACTGAAGTTGCACTTTCAGTTTGGATTCTTTGATTAATTCATAGTTTAATTTGTATTTAATCGTAATTTTATGATTCATTTCGAAGTTTCACTTTGTACTTTTCTGTGTTACTATTTTTTTAAAGTGTACGTTGTGCATATTACCAATGACTAATTTGTCACCCTTACATCTGAATGTATTTAACACGGGGGCCTACCTTAAGAAAAGAGACTTCTAGTCCCAGTGTGCTCTCAGCTGGTTATAGACAATATTACATTACAGTGACAACCATTAGCGCTTCAAAACGCGCGTACACTTACAGGAAGGGTGCCCGAAACAAAAACTTAACTGCGGGCAAAATGAATCTGCCCTCTATAAATAAACTCGGCAAATAAATACACAGCCGTGTGGTAAGAAACTCCCTCCATGGATGACAGCCGCCATCCATTACAGGAGGGCTCGATGGGAGGTCCTCGTCGTAGCCAGCCATCGAGTGCACCAGGATCCTTGCTCAGTGGCGTGAACTTGAGATGCGCGTGCAGCGTTCGAGTGGCATGGCAGTCGTTAATGGGGCGTCAGGTTTGTTTGGAGACCGCCGGGCTGCCCGGCTGTTCAAGCACGCGGGGCCGGGGTCACCCTGGGTGAACGCCGTCGCTCAGTTTTTTTCGTTCTGAAAAAGGCCTTTTCTGAAATCGGTGGGTATATATCGGACTGATAACGATAGGACATTTCGCGTTGGATTTAAAGCTCCGTCCGTACACGTTCTGAAGAATTAAACGCCGTTTGTATCGAGGTCCCGCATTATTACGTTCATATAGCAATTTCTACTGAAATGGGCTACCGCTCGTTTCTACAGACCTCGAGTTTCTCTCTCTCTCCATTTGGCATTTCCTCGATTTAAGCAGCAGTCACATAGGCGTACGATTGTAAATGTACATCCCTTACATCAATCAACTGCCGGACGACAGCCCTACCATGCCGTGCGGGTTGTGGGAGTTATTTGGCCATACCTCACCACACTGCTCAGCCTGGGTTGACGGTAGGGAGCAAAAACGTATGCGCTTAGAAGCACAACAACGGATTGTTCTGCACTGCTGCCCCTTGCAGCCTACAGCGTATCACAGCCCTGCAGCTGCCTATGGCAGTCTGGTGGGCGCCACGGTAGTGAGATGTTAACTCCCTCGCCTGGTATACAGGAGGTCGTGGGTTCGATCCCGATCCTGACGCCTGCTGTATATTTGGAATTAGCATGTTTTCTCTCTCCCCGTGGTCGCATGGACTGTTCTCCGGCTCTTCCGGTTTTTGCATCCACATTTAGAATCCTTGAATCGTTTAGAGTATTTGGCTGCTGTAAATTTCCACGTGATAAGCCACTTCGTTGAGCTATCATTTGTGGCTATGTCACTTCTGAAAAAGAGCGAAATAGTTTAGTGGACCTTACCTGGTAAAATAATGAATAGTTTTCGATTAAGAGGCAAAATTTCACATTCCCATGGCACAGGTGAGTCTTTTCATTAAGCAAAAAAACTGGAGGCTTCCCACAAAGTGGCGCTCGTTAGGACTTTGCCTCCTGTTTAAGCTGGGCACCCTTTGCCTTACTTGCAGAAGTCTAATCAGGACGATCGAGAGAAAGCGATGTAGTTTGGGTACATTCTCACAGGTGTGTGCTTGATGGAGAAGGTTGTATTTATGTTTGCAGATAATTGTTTTTTTTATTTCCCCACCGTACACAGCCAACTGTGCTAATCCGTTGTGGAAGGGTCAGGGACCTTGGGAAAGATGCCAAGAGGCAGAGAAATAAAAATGCAGTTCGACGCCTTCAAGGAAGGAAGGAAGAGGGGGTGCATACAGTGATATGAAGAAGAGGGCTCCAGATCAGATAGAACGGAGGGAGTTTGAGCCAACGACCTGACACTGGCACGATAGGAGGAAGTCTTCCAATCACTATACATCATTGTAATGTTAGCGTAATGTAAATAGGCATTTAAGAAACACATAATCATGCTAAAGCGTCTCTCTCAAGGACGTTGCCGTCTCATCGCACCTCCGATGAGCTCGGTTGGCTGTGTACGGTGTGAAAGAAGTTCAACGTACACACACATACATACGATAATAGGTTTTTCCCCTTTTTTCTGGCAACAAAACAGGTGTTAAGATTTTGATGTAAAGCTTTTGTGACTGCAGGGATTCATATTCTTGGTTCTTTCGGTAAAGTCACGTAGAAGGGAAACAATAAAATAATAATACAATTAAAATACATATAAAATATATATATTTTAATATATATTTTAATTTTACAATAATAATAAAATTTATATATATAATATATATTTTAATTTTATTATTATTTTATTGTTTCTCTTCTACGTGACTTTACCGAAAGAACCAAGAATATAGGTGTTAAGATGTTAAAACACCAAACTGAAACCTTTTACAAGGAATCATGTCTGCATTAACCACAATGCTTGTGGTCAGAATGCAAACAAAAAAAACAAAACAAAAGAAACTTAAATGAACATACGTTCATTAAGTTTCTTTGAAGGTCTCGCTCGAAGCGGTCGAACCGGAGGTGGTCTCACGATGCAGCGCACCGTGATGAGCGTAACAGCAGTGCACGTCGTGCGCCCACAGAACTCCTCCGTGCTGGAGAACCACCACTGGCGCTCCACGGTGGGGATGCTACGAGAATCCGGACTCTTCGCTCACCTACCGATGGACGAGAGGCGAGTGTCACTCTCCCGCCATGTATTCATCATCATCATCGCCATCCCAGAGTCGTCGCGTGACTTGTGACACACGCGAGTTGTCCATGTGCAGTGTCATTAATGTCACGTGTGGTACGCTATGCATGTTGTAAGGGTTGTTTGTTGTGAAGCTGTATAATCCGAGATTGGTGGTGGTGGTGGTGTTGTAATTATTGTGTGCAGACTGCAGATGGAGAGGGATCTTGGTTCTCTGATTCTCGCCACGGACATCAGCCGACAGAATGAGTTCCTGTCCCAGTTCAAATCTCACCTGGACAAGGGGGACTTATGTCTTGAGGAAGCTCCTCATCGCCACTTCATATTGCAGGTATTCGTTCAGGAATCGCACAATCCTTTGCTCGCAAAGGCAGAGGCGGCTTGCCGCATCAGCTCGATGTGTATACGGTCACGTACTTCCAGAGACCCAAAGATGACAAAATTAACATTAGCCTTTTATTTTTCAGCCAATTTGTGCTTCTTAATTTAATCAGTGTTATTCCCTATAGCCGGTGAAAAGATTGCACCTGCAAGTGCCACCCTGAGCATTCCGGCCTTACTCAGGGCTTTTATAAACCAGTGATACCGATGGTGTACATTGATGGGAAAACTTTTTATTTTCCTCCTATTGAAAAAAAAATACTTCTTGACTTAGTGGCCAAGCCATGCCCTTGCCCCCCCCCCCCCCCCCCAGTTGCCAGAACATTGCTCCCTGGACAGAAGCTCCCTTCCTTCACTCTGCTGTCCCGATATGCAACTGCCTCCCTGAACACATTGTCAGCCAAATCACTGATTCAGATCTTAAGGCCTTCAAATACCTATCAAGTGGACATCTCCTAACTTGACTCCACGTGCCTTGTAGGGACTGAGTCTTTGAGCTGTAGTGAACCAATGATTATGCCGATTAGATGTACTCGTGTCAGATATGGCGATTGTTCACAATTGCACCCAAAAAAAAAGTCAGAGTGCCAGGCTGGAATTTCCGAGGTCCTGGTTTAACCCAGGTTACCCACCCATGATTAGCCCAAGAGCTCGAGTGTCATGAGGCCATGGTCTCCTCTCACTCACCCCCCCCCCCCCCCCCCCCCCACAAAGCCCCAGGAATCATGGGGCAAAATCAGTCACCTGACATGAAAAGTGGATACATTTTACGAGAGGGTTATTTGCGTTCAACCGATCAAGACAATAAAAATAACTGTTTTTTATACACCTATGATGATGACATATATGGAGGAATATCAACTTTGTGAGAGAACTATATATATCTCAATACTTATTTTGAGCCCGAGTGCAAACATTAAATGAGCTTAAAACTTCAAGTAGCCAAAATAAAGTGATCCTGTAAAGATACCTGATGCAACAGGATAGACTGTCACACAGCACAGCAAACCGTTAAGGATTCATAGCAGCGTGCGTTGTACGTGCGTGGGAGGTCAGAGCCCCCTGACGGTGATTAACAGATAAACCACGTGTGTATTCCAGTTAGCTTTACAGAAGTAAACATTCCCTTGGTAGGAATTGGTCTTAATTCGTGTTCAATACGCATCCTTATGAATGTATGTTGAACATCTTTCACACCGCAAGATGTTAACTACCTCGCCTGGTATGCAGGAAGTCGTGGGTTTGATCCCAACCCTGCCGCCTTTATATTTGGAGTTTGCATGGTTTGTGTGGATTTTCCCTGAGTTCTCCAGTTTTTCCCTTCACATTTAGAAACATGCAGTTAAAGTATTTGGCTGCTATAAATTTCCACACAATATGCCACTTCACTGAGCTATAATTTGTGGCCAGGTCACTTCTGAAACAGAGCTACATAGCTCAGTGGGCCTTCCCTGGTAAAATAAATTTATGCAAACCGACACACCTGATGATGACCGTTTGAGTTATGGTCGAAACGTCGTGAGAATTTTTTATTGTTTTATATATATTTTGTTGTTTCTCTTCAACGTGACTTTACCGAAAAAACTAAGAATATAAAAAAAACAGTTTAGTTTAGTGCTAATCGAAGGTGCGGGGAAAGGACAGCAAAAGGATAATTATTCGACTATAGAATAGTGTGACTGGCAGTCTGGGAGGACCGTGTATTGCTGAAACAGCAGAGTGTTTTAAAATAGTTTAAATAGAGTGTCCCCTACCTACATCGCCTGAGTAGGCCCCTCGCACAGATCCGGCGAACAGAACATGACGAGCTGGAAACAGCCATTTTTGTTATTGCTCCACCAAAGGAATATGTGAAATGACATGTATTTTACAAGAATCATCACCCGGCTTATGGATTTACTAACAGTACGGTTCGTTTTAATTACATGGAAAGTTCTGGCCAACATCGGCATTTGAAGACAGTATCACAATGTGTGAGGTAATTTTCCATTAACCGTTTTACTAATCATCGTGGCCTTGCTCCAAACCCACCCTGGCTGTTATGTAAAAAAATGTGTAGCTGGTGGTTTTATCAATTACTTGCAAGAGTGGTTTTAACTTCATGCAAGTAGCTGAAACGTATGGAATAATTGCAACCTTTTTGTGCACCCCATTTAAACATCATGGGCTCAACCACGTGAACCTAGAGGTGATGCACATGAATGTAGAGGCATGTATAGCCACAAAAGTGGCCAAAAAACTTGGTCGACTGGTACGTATGTATGTTGAACTTTCGCACTTCACGTAGCCAACCGTGCTAATCAGAGTCGTAACTTTTAAAGTCACTCACCCAAAGCAAGTGGCTGTTAGTTCCTCAGGATGACAGTTGCCAGCCGTAGCCATTAAATTGCAATGTAAAATATGGCATATAAACCGCGCGATAAACTTGACGACTTTGTAAACGTTCGCTCGGCTTTGCGTTCGGCCCTTACACAGATCGCTCTGAAATGCGCCGACATCTGCAACCCGTGCCGCGTATGGGACACCAGCAAGCGGTGGAGTGAGAAGGTGTGCGAGGAGTTCTTCAAGCAAGGTGGGGTGGCGCGTACACCACGCAACGGCACACGGGGCGGCACACGTGACGGCACATGGGGCGGCACACGTGCCACACGCAGCACACTCGCGGTACACGTCTTACACTAGCACATGCAGCACACACGCAGCACACTCGCGGTACACGTCTTACACTAGCACATGCAGCACACACGCAGCACACTCGCGGTACACGTCTTACACTAGCACATGCAGCACACTCGCGGTACACGTCTTACACTAGCACATGCAGCACACACACAGCAGCACACGCAGCAGCACACGCAACAGCACACACGCAGCAGCACATGGAACACACACGCAGCAGCACATGCAGCACACACACGGCACAAAGCCTCCGCCCCGCAAGGATGGGGTGTGGGCACACGGGACGTGTACGATGGCTTCATCACGAGCAAGGGGCGTTAGCGTGATCACATGTGATCCTAGACCTTGTGGGCTACTGCTTGCTGTGTCCAAGCTCGAAGCGGGTGCCCCCGGGCTTCTTAAACTTAAAAAAGATTGTTTCTTTTACCAGGTAAGGCCCACTGAGCTATATAGCTCTTTTTCAGAAGCAACTTGGCCACAAATGATTGCTCACAGAAATGGCTTGTCACGTGGACATTTATAGCAGTCAAATACTCGAAAAGCGTGTTGATTCTAAATGTGGACGGAAAAAACCGGAGGACCCGGAGAATAATCCGCGACCACAGGGAAGAGAGACGTGCAAACTCCAAATATACAGATGCCAGAGTCACGATCGAACCCACTACCCCGTGCATACCGGGCGGGGAAGTTAACATCTCGCCACCGCGGCCTGCAGTATTTTTAACTTGAGCACGTGGCAAAGTTGATGCCGTCGCCTCGTTCATCCGTTCGTGCACGTGGATGGCTGTGAATAAACACGATAATGAGTTGGGGGACCACAAACTTTTTGTTTACAGAGTGGCACATTTTTACACCAGCAAGGGGCTCTCAGGTATCGTTCCAACTGAAAGTCTCCACCATCGCGATGACCTCGCATTAATGGTGAAAACATTGATTAGTATCGATCATTAAGTTGGCATGTATGTATGTATGTTGAATTTCGTTTGCACCGTATGTAGCTAATCCGAGGTGCGGGAGTGTGCGTCAAATGCCTCAATTGTGCGCAAGATTCAGTTAAAAGGAATTCACGCAGATTTTGTGCTTACTTGAACGAACAAACCTTTACAAACAAGCCAGTAACAGGAGAATACAAACAGAACGGTAAAAATGTGACAAAAAAAAAGGATCTGCATCGTGACTCCAAAGTCAATCTGGCAGATTCCGGGTGTGACTGTGAATCATCGTGAACTCTACGAGTGTTGAACGCGGGGCCTACGGGACTGACCCGCGGCGGTTGAACCATTCCGCGTGCAACCAACCGTGCACTAACTCGAGCCTCCCCCCCGGGTTGTGTTGTCGCCTCTTGCCCGGCCGCGTGTGGTGTGAGCGCAGGCGACATGGAGCGCAAGTGGAGGCTGGAAATCAGCCCTTTGTGTGACCGCTACACACAGACTGTGCCCAACATTCAGATCGGTGAGTAGTTTTTTTTTGTTTTGGCGCGCTTGCTAGTCGCTGCTTTAGGGCCACTTCTCACGGTGATGCGATGGGGTGGGGGGAGGGGAGATCTTCCCATGGTAACTGTGGGCACAAAACATGCCCTGCCTGTCGCCTGGGCATGCCAGGGTGTAAATAGACCTCGCTCTGATAAGACAAGGATAATGACGCAAAGAAGGGTCCGAGACCGTGTTAATAGTAATCAGAGCTGTGAGGAAATGCAACAATCATGGGGTTTTTTTGTATGCTTCCATGACTATAAAAACATATATAAAGAAAAAAACCTAAACAATTTTTTTTTTATATTACCATGTAAGGCCCACCGAGCTATATAGCTACTTTTCAGAAGCAAATTGGTTATGACGAAGGAAAGCTCAATGAAGTGGCATATCATGTGGACATTTATAGCAGCCAAATACTCTAAATGCGTGATGTTGATTCTAAATTTGGAGGGGGACAACTGGAGGACCCGGACAAAAATCCACGCAATCACAGGGAGAGAGAGAGAGAGAGAAAATGCGAACTCAAAATATACAGGTGTGAGAGTTGGGATATATATTCAGTAATGTCTAGCTTAATAGTACAGCATCCACCAGGGTTCATGCTGATAGCCAGCCAAGTGAATGAGTTGAATTCCTTGTTGTGTATACACTTGGGGTAGCTTCGTGCAGTTGTTGATACGTCTCCAAATGCCACTGAAATTGTGCAATGCACAAAGTCTCTCCCGCAAAACCTGACACAACTCGGAGGATCCTTGGGCCCTGTGCACGATCGCGGATGGGGAAAACTCCTGAAACCGCCGCCGCCGGTCCAGGCGTGTGCGTGTGACGCGCACAAGCCGCTGGAGCGTCGAGGGTCTGACGTGCGGTCGGCCTGTGCCCGCAGGCTTCATGACGTTCGTGGTGGAGCCGCTGTTCATGGAGTGGGCGCGTTTCATGGGCTACACGCACCTCTCCCGCACCATGCTGGGCCACTTGGGACTCAACAAGGCCAGCTGGCGCGGCCTGCAGAACGAGCTGGAGGCCGGCAGCGCCAGGGCGGATGCCGCCGCCGCCGCCGCCGCCGATACCGCGGACGACTCGCCCGAGGATGGAGAGGGCCCCGAAATGGGGCCCACGTCCTCCTCCTCCTCCTCCCTGCAATAGCGGCGCTTCGACCTCCAGCGGCGGCCGGAGGTTTCTCGGGAGCGGTGCCAAGTTTGCGCGGACCTTGGTACCGTCGGTTTTGTTCGCACGTCGATGCGGTGGGGCCGAGGATGGCTGGCTGTGCGTCACGTAAGCCAAGGCCTTTATTTGCATCACGAGAGCTCCCCAGCAGGAGCACGGAGCCACGTGTTGAGCACGCCCACCTGCTTTCACTCCGCCACCAACGCCAACGTCGCCACCGGCCCTTGCGACACAACCACCACCACCACGGTGTGTGGCTGTGGATTGCCGAGCAGGACAGACCGACTGCAATACGTGATGAAAGTGAGGACTGTGTACGGTGGAATTGCGAAAGTAATTGAATCTCAGAGGGATTTGTATGAACCCTTAACGTGAGGACCACGATGCCAAACTTTCAGAAAGAATGAGAGGAGGGACAACCAGCTGGCCAGTGATGCGCCCCCCCCAACCCCAACTCTCTATCAAGACAGAGCGTCCTGCACCCCGATTAATAAAAAAGTGGCCTTTTCGAGGGCCCCAATAGATTATGTGACTGATGAAGATGAAGGGAAAAAATTAATTCGTCAATACTGAATAGAATGCGCTTCCAATTGCAGGATTCACCAGCGTTAGCAGACCGCCCCTGCCCATGTGCAGTTATTGACGACACGGAGAAGTGAAAGTCTTCAAAACCTGTTTTTCTTCACGCGACGTCCGTCGAGGCATTAGATCGACCAAGGGGCACGTGGACACGGAACTTAGAGTGTTGGAAACGGAGAGGCCACTTGGAAATCTTGAAATGAAGTCTGGCAACCCTCTCAATGTCACTCGTCAGAATCACATCCAAAACCCCCTGGCCGTTTATAGAACACAATGGCCGATACGGACTTTGCAACATTCCTCCACGGAATATATCCATCCCAGCTTCGTATAATGGAGCTTGCCATACTCTAACCCAACAGCCACCGAGGCTAGGCTGACGGCTGCTCCGGTGAATTTTCTATGTAGATTTTAAAAAAGTAAAAGCATTTTACAACAATTCCTAAATCCCTTTCTTGAAACCCCTGAAGTTCACTCCCCCTTTTTTCTGACTTCACCAGCCCCAGGCCTTTAACTCGTGCACCGCTAGCACTGCTGTGCCCACACTCGACACCAGCGAATGGGGCCCGCCGTTCTCGTGCGAGCGAGCGACGCTTGGCGGCGCTCGCGTGCGGTCCGAGCACGGGGGGTGTAGAGGGACCGCGCGAGCCCTCTATCACTCTCTAGGGTCCTAGAAGCGCCGTCAGCGGGGTTGACACAGGCACGCTTAGAGCTTTGAAGGGCACACACGCACGCTGGGTTTTTGCTTTTCTACCAATGTTAAAAATCAAAAATCCTAAGTTAAATTTGCCAGTGCACAGTCGGGGCCCTCGCAGCCCATGGCGAGCAGGTCACGGGGGCCATTCGCAAGGGGAAAACGCCTCGACGGCTATTTAAAATTCGGTTTTCTCCCTTGGGTAGCCTGCGAAGGGCCCAGTGAATATGAAAACAATGAGGGCTCGGAGGATGATCAGAGTTCCCCATCCTGTTGGTTGGCCGATAAATGCTAAGGTGTGCTCACTGATGGCTGCGAAGTGTCACGTGTCCTTTTTATATCGATCGACCCGGACAGACATCCCCCGTGCTACCAAGCAGGGGTAACTCGGCGGTGTTTGCCGAGAATATTTTTTTCTTTTGATTGGGTTTTTATTTCTTTTTTAAAATTTATTCCCACACCACGCGGCGCACGTTCCTCCTGCGCTTGACGTTCTCGTGTTGCCCCCCCCCCCCCCCCCCCCCCCCCCCCCAATCTCGAGACTTGCGGTGGTTGAAATGGGTGCAAGGGCGCGTTCAGAAACTTGTGCACGGGCGGGGGGCCATCATCGCGAAACATCCATCGGGTCGAGGAAGGAGGCGCCTCCTTTGCACGCTTTCACAAACCAGCGCCGAATGGCACGCGTCGTTTTTAACCATTTTTCCGTGCTCGCCGCGCACTCACGGGAATCGGTGGAGGGGGGTGACGTGCGGCCGAACGACTGGTCAAGGCTGCAGTTGAATGCGAGCGGGTTAAGTCTCCAAGGTGGTCAATTCCAAAGTTCCAGGTTTAGATTTTAGAGCGATGAACGCTGGTGGCCGAACAGCAGCCAAGTCTTATACATGCACAAGGCCAAAACGATGAGTTTGCGCAGTCACGGGAACACGTTAAAACAATCCGTTGAGAGATATTTTTGCTATGCTCAATAAGTATATTGTGTCGTTGATGGAGTGACGGGTGGGCTCGTTGGGGGAGTTCTCGGCCAATTGTTGTTTACCTACGGATATAAGGAAAAAAGGGATGGCGTGCATTTGCTCTGTGTGCGCGTGTGTGTTTGCGTGCGAGCTCGCTCTATTCTACACACACGCGCGTAATGCAAGTGCACGTTCACGCACAGACGTGCGTGCTCGCGTTGCGCGATGTAATTATAGGGGGGGGGGTAACACCTTTTCAAGAAAAGTGAAGACTTGAATTCAAACTGTCGAAGCAAACAGTACCTCAAGCAAAACTCAGCTTGCAAGACTGTTAGAGGTTTTCCCTGTATGCTTGCTGTTTGATGAACGATGGAAAGAGCAAGCTAATCGCATTTATGTAACAACAAAACCCCAAGGCTTGCCAAGTCCCCGTCAGTTCCCTGTCCAGCTAAGTTTGATTTACTTTTAACAATTTGTGATAGGTTACCTTTCTGCAAAATTGGCCTGTCGTGGAGTGATGCCGGGGGGGGGGGGGAGGGGGGGACTGGGGGGGGGTGGGGGGGGACTGGGGTGGGACTGGGGAAACTTTTGTGCGTATGATGTGTGTACATATATAAAATGCGAACAGTATGCATTCTCAGGTATATTACAGGGTTGTGTCAAGTTTTTATATCCGATTTGTCGACGTTCGGGAGGCCATAGAAGTTGTTCCTGCTTCACACACACTCACGCGCCTGTCCCCACTCGGCAGAAGTCGACGGCGATGCCAATGCCATGTCGGGGCCTCACGTTAACATCTATTATTTCCCTCCCCCCCTCCGATGCAGAGTTGACACTGAATCTCGCAGACGACTCCTTCTCTCCTTATACAATTATCCCGTAGTCTTGAGACGCTGTTTTGTGAGGGGAAGCGTGGGTGGGGGGTTCCGTTGCTCACAGCTGTTTAATGGCGCGCACACACGAGAAACGAATGGGCGTGCGCTCACGCAAGCCCACTTTGCTGCAGATATTTTCGTTGGAAATTATTTCGATATTATTATTATTCATCTATTGCATTTGTATCCCCGTTTTTTTTTTCCATTGGCATAATATAAAGTAATTTCTAACTGGCCGCACTCTTACCATTTGCTATATTTTCACCTGTATCCTGTTAATAAACAATATGAAAAAGCAACACAATTCAAGGAGGGAAGCTATTATTACACAGGCAGTGTTAAGCAAAACTTTTCCAGTTTGAAGCTCTCTTAAAGTGCAAAAACACAGTCCCGCCATACCGGCATAGATCGATCTCGGCTTGCAGGGAAATCCCAGCGAGTGTCAGCACGGCCTCCGTCGGAGTGGGACGTGCCCGCCCAGCCATTCCCCGGGGGGTGGGGCAACGAGCCACGTGCCCGCCACGTGCAGTGTAGCTCTCACACGTGCGAGTGTACCCCGCAACTGGGACGTGTTATTTGTGCTTTTGGGCCGCCCTCTCCTCGGTCACGTTTCCATCGTTCCGAACTGAACTCGCTCGGTCGGCCTCTCGTCCACGCGTTGTCCGCTCCAGCGCGTGCGACACATTGAGAGAAGCCAACGTGGCCGTCAAACCCCCCCCCCCCCCCCCCCAAACCCAGCCCGGTTAAGCCCCTAAAACAGAACATTGGAGCTGAATCAGGAGCGCTGACTTGCGTGAAAGTCGTCCCCTCGCGCCGTCGTCCGCAGAAACCTGGAGTGAGGGGCTGGCACATTCCACTCGTGAGCGGAGCCCGTGTACACATCGCCACACTCGTGAGCAGAGCCTGTGTACACATCGCCCCACTCGTGAGCGGAGCCCGTGTACACGTCGCCCCACTCGTGAGCGGAGCCCGTGTACACATCGCCCCACTCGTGAGCGGAGCCCGTGTACACATCGCCCCACTCGTGAGCGGAGCCCGTGTACACGTCGCCCCACTCGTGAACGGAGCCCGTGTACACATCGCTCCACTCGTGAGCGGAGCCCGTGTACACGTCGCCCCACTCGTGAGCGGAGCCCGTGTACACATCGCCCCACTCGTGAACGGAGCCCGTGTACACATCGCTCCACTCGTGAACGGAGCCCGTGTACACATCGCTCCAGCGCAGCGCACGCACGAAAGTCTCGTTTCTGGCTTGCGGGCACTTGGTGAGACGGTAACATCGGACGACAGCGTGACCAAACTTAAAACTCACACCATCAAAAGCAAACTTAGTTTTTGTTCCTTGTAAAATGTTATCCTAGACATTTTGCTGTAAGAAATCCAACTGGCTGGGAACATTTGAGGGGGTGGGGGTGGGGGGTGGGGGGCGGGGTGGGGGTTTGTGCCCACACGTCTTTAATAATCCGCAGTAGCTTCAGAGAGAACAGAAGGCAGAGTTGGAAAGTAGAAGGCAACCGCTTCGTAGCTGATCGAGAACGAGAGTGCAGTGGCCGGCATATTGGCGAGGGGCTGTCTTGAAGCTTAACGATGCCGCTTTTGTAACAGTTTAAAAACGCTCACGACAAGCGACTCTGCTGACGAACCAGATGCATAATCCGAGGTGTTTTTTGCAGTTTGCACTGTAATTTAAATTGGTTTTATAGCCTTTCTGTGTTTCATAACATGGTCTTACCTCATCTCTCTAGCTGCCATAATGGTTACCGACCATGCCTGAGGAACTTGTGTGTGGCCCAAGAGGATTTTATTTCAAATTGTGAACTAATATGGCTGAACAATAACAAACAATAAAAAAATTGGTAGTATATAACACTGATTATAAAAAAATATAATGCGGGGGGGGGGTGGTGGGGGGGGGGCTACGGGTGGCGTGGCATTCTAAAAAGCTTTGGTAAACTAAGCAGTGCCACCACGTGCGATCATTGTGCTGGAATGAGACGGGAATGGCCAGGAGCAAACCGGGGCCCCCGGGTTTATTTATTAATTTCCGCCTTCACAAACGCAGTGTTGCGACCGGGAGGGGTGGGATGAATGGGGATGGGATGCTTCGCGCTCGTGTGTTTCAGCCCCCTCTCGCTTGTTTACAATCGGCTTCATCGCGACGCGCTGGGCTTGTTTGTAAAAGGAACACACAAACAAAAGTGTGCACTCGGAATGATGATGATTATATATATTAAAAAAAAAATTACATCGGGGGGGAAAAAAAAAACTTTCAGTACTGACACCATCCGGTTAAATTCGATTCGCGATCCCCCTTTTCAAATGTTGAATGTGTGTGTAAATAAGCGTGTGGATATGTATGTATACGTGGTATGCATACATATGGCGTCAGTGTAAGACTTTAGATAGCAGAGTCACAATGGCCATTCTAGCCTCATTTTCAAAATCTAAATGTCCACGTGTTACTGCTGCATTGAAGCGACTGTTGGAATGCTGTACTTTTGTTGCGTCTGTCAGTTTGGCATGTTTATCGATGCATTTTTTTCATGTTAATGTATAATGTAAAGTTCTTTATTGTTGAAATACATTTATTTATCAGTCTTTTTATGCTTAACCTTAGGAGACGGAAGAGTACACATTAGTCCTGAGAGTTGTACATTAAAATGAAGCATTTTGTATTGCCTTTTGAAGCCTTGGGCAAAATATGTTTGTGATGATGTTTTGAGTAACGCGTTGTTTTTAATTGTTAACATTAAGTTTTCATTGTCACCTCTTTTTTTAGTTCCTCTTTATTGAGCCTGGGAGCCTTTACGTTGACGTAATGGTACGGAGTCCATGCTGTCATCTTCCCCCAAACGGAAAATCAGAAGTGAACGTGTGACTGCCAATGTTTGGGATTGCACCGCGGCGTTGTCTTGGGCCGTTCCCGTAGACATCCGCAGACGCGCGTCACCATTTTTGTAAATATAATTCGAGTGGTCTACAGGGAAGCAGCACAAAGCAAATGTGTGTGTGTGTACGTATGTTGAACTTCTTTTGCACCGAACGTAGCCTACCGCGCTTATCGGAGGTGCGGGGGAAGGACAACAAACTGAACACCAAAAAGCAGTTCTAAAGAAATTATTTTTCAATCTGGATGATTTTAAAGTGCATAGCTCCGGTGGCACGATGCCGTGTGCCAGTCTTTGTTGCGATGGCTAGCCAAAAGCCGCTGCCGCTGCTGCTGCTGCGAGGACGACGACGATCGGAGTTCGCGCGTGACGGTTTACGCACCTTCACGAGATAGCTGTGAAACGTTCAGCACTTGGCCTCGGGGGACACGGTGGGGGGGGTGCGTGAATTGTGTCGGGAGAAGCTCTTTTCCTTTTTAAAAGTTGTGCCTAACACCACCAGCAGGTCGGTCCACAATTTAGTTAAATCGACACACATTTTTCTCTCGGTGCCCAAGTGCGGAACGCCGCATCGCACGGCCTCCGTGGCGCGCTGACGGGGTGCGGGGACACTCGTGGTGTGATCTCAGTGGAACTCCGCAAGGCCCAGGTCGTGAGATTTGTGATGCGCGTAATAATGCCTTGGGTTAAAAAAAAAAACAAACTCACGTGTGTCGTCTTTCGCAGCGCCACGCATTTGGAAAACGTAGCAGGGCCGTTGCGAAAGTGTCGCAACGATTACAACCATCGGCGTAATATACCATTGCCTTAAACCTATGCACATGGCTGAGTTGAACACGTTTCCTAACGTGCACGGCTATATCTGGTCACAGTTCAGACCGTGGTCGTTGGGGGTTGCCATTCAGCTCGGCTTGACTGTAAGGAATGGGGTTACATTTTGGGAACGTAAAACACTTCGAACATTCCATTTTGTATTTTGATTTTCTTTTTTTTCCCTTAGTTTTTTTATGTAATGTTAGGTTTAGTTATTTTAATTGCAGTTTATAATACCATAATGGCCATTTAGTTATGTGGATGTTTTTCATTCTTACGCGGTATGTAACACGTTAACTGTTGACGACATAGTACAAGGTGCTTTTTGTGTTTTCCTTGGTTTTTACATTGAAAAATAAATAAACAATTGAAATCCTTAAAATGTGCCCACACTTGACTCTGTTGTTTTGTAAACAAACAAAAAAGCGCACGCGACCAAAGGAGAGAGGCCTGAAACCAAACTGCTATTGCCTCGCACATTCGTACGAGATGAGCCGGCCACTCCTCGCGGTTCTGGGTTCATTCAGGGCAGGGGTGTACCTCCTGCTACGTGGGTTGCTCTTTACAAAACTCCATTCGTTCCATAAAGAGCACAATTAGGCCATCTCATGCATGTACGTATGTATGTTGAACTTCTTCGCACCGTACGTAGCCATCCGTGCTTACTAGAGGTGTGGGGTAAGGACCACAAACTAAACGCAAAAACTGTTATAAATAAATTAGTTTCAGTCGAGATTTAAAAGTGCATAACTCCAGTGGCTTCCGACTATCGAAAGGAAGAGCGTTCCAGACGGCTGCTGAAGCGCATCTGAAAGCGCCACGTGATGCAGTGACAGATTGTGATAAAAAAACAAATTGTGCTGAATTAAAAATATATAAGAACAAGTAGGATATAATATTAATGTATGTCCCTTTACCCTAACAAGTTTCAGATTGAGTCAAATGCATTTCCA